CTGCCTCCAAGAGGACAGAGAAAGGCAACGGCGCTAGGTTTTCTTTCCTTTTTCTTTCTTGTTTTTTTTCGCTTTTCTTCTTTCTTCTTTTCTTCCTTCCCTTTCTATATTGGTGGTTTAAGGTTTTGTTTGTATAAAATGAAAATGGGTTCCATATAGTGCTATTTAGTGCTCCATTGCAATCAAGTCCCTCATTTTGTATTTTATATAACATTTAGTAATTAACTTCCTATAATTGAAAACTAAATCTCAAAATTCTATTTTATTCGTCTTGACTCCTTCGAAATACTCATTTTTTTCTTTGTGAATAATTGTTTTTGATCTATTCAAAATAACATCTTGGGTTAGTAAAAAAATTGAAATTTGAAAGACATACTCACGTACCCATGTCCGAAATTTGGACACTTTTTAGTTATGTTCCCGTATCTTATATTTTAAAAAATAAAAAGATCCGACACTTAGATACGTGCCCGTACCCGAATCCGAGCATTATAGCAAGGATGCTGACATTTTCCTTATTTATCTGGGACTAACATTGAATTAAACAAAGAAAGATTAGCATCTATATATTTCATTTTTCTGATGGATAAGTTTAAGAATCAATTTCACTAAAATATCTGCTATTTTGAGGAAAATATAATATTTTAATGTAATGAATTCTCGCTCATAAAATCCAATGTTGTTTTATCCTTTAATATTTATACAACTGGATTTTACAGAGCCCATACGTCGAGGCCCCACAATTTGCCGGAGCTCAATTCAACAACTTTCCAATGCCAACTGCTCCACCAGGTGCTCAGAGACATGCATAAACATATCCAGGGTTTGAATTTTTTCGTAGCATTTGATCAGTACCGTGTGTTGTATGTATTTTTCTAGTCAACTTGTTGAAGTTAGCGTGTATATTATTTCTTGAATGTGCTTGTTACATGTTATACATGCCATTTAGAAATTCTTTGTTGCAGCTCAAGTCTTTGATCATTCCTTGGGCTGATGCTTAACTAACAGTGATTCCATTTTCTTGAGTCGCATATTGAGTTGCACATTATTGCTAAAATAGCTATGTTGTCACTTGTGCTGTCGTCAGTCTCTTCCAACCTCCATGTCATAATTCGGTATTTTGGATTGAATCCCACTCGGGTGGGGACTGCCCACAATGCCTTCGACAAGTAATTCCAGAAAATAAAGCCTCTGAATAGGTTCTATTTCGACCCCACCTCACCCACATGGTTTGTTCCTACCGAGAGTCCTTATCTTTCTCTTGCCCTGACATAATTTGGGGCTATCAGTTTCCTAGTTAATTTATCCCTTGGTCTTGATATCATATACACCGAGACTTGTATGATGGAATTTTTAGCTCGAAAACCATTGAATTTGTATTGTTTGACATTCTAGGGAGGGATGTGTCTTCATAATTCAAGAGACTAGACTTAGGGGCAGATTTAGAAAGTAGAAAAACTTGTAGGGAACAATTCCAGAAATTTGTGATACCTATCATTGAATTTGAGTTTTGGTGGTGTACTATTTGGTTGTGTAAAATGACTTTCTCAGCTGGGTGAATAGAGTAGGATAGGCAAAGGTATGAAATAGTATTTTGTCTCTTCATTATTCCTTATAGAATGAATCCTAGTTTTCTCTGAATTGGTAATGATAAACAAAGTTAGGTATCTTCTTTGAGACCAGGCTACGTGGAAGCCGTTGGTGAGTGTGATTTTACACTTATTAGAGTATCTTCAAGAGGCCCTTTATTTATAGAGAGTATATTATGCATTATAGAACATTTTTAAATTTAGAGAGTTAAAATTTTTATACACTCTAACAATGTTCTCTATTTTGATTGTTTATTTTACTTTCTCAATAAACATTTATTGATTTTTCCTTATATTTTATTTTAACATAATTTTTTAAATGTCAACTTCAAGTCAATATAAATGTGATTTGAGTAATTTAAGAAGTAGAATATTGAAATTTGTAACTTATTAAATACAATCACGTAGTTGTACATTAAGAAGATGGAGCGGTTTTGGCTCTCTAATTTTGGATCATTAAACTCGCTTTCTATTCTAAAAAGTTGAAATATTGAATCTCTTGGAGCTTATTTTTATACGTTGTCTCATAGAAATAAAGAACGTTTTGTATTTATAAAGTCTTTTGGAGATGCTCTTAAGGTTGTCAAAAGTTGATATTTGGAAGTCGGTTTGGTGGAATTTTTACTTAATTTGGTTAAATATTGATTGTTGTATGATAAATTCAATGTTGGAACTTGGAAGGTTAATGATAAAAAAAAAAAAGTGAAAATGGGCCCAAAAAAGGTGCTAAAGAAAAATAACTGTAAAAGTTCGTGATCAAATTATAAAATTTCAAAAGTTGATTTGGACCAAGGACGAATAAATGAAGAGGACATGGATCAAATTGGATAAAAATGGAAGTTGAAGGACTCATAAAATACAAAAAGGGACTTGAACTGAGATGAAGAAGATACTTAGGGATCATAGTAAATGAATACAAAAGTTAATACCTTAAGATTGCAAGGTCCTTTTGTTAGAATCTTGCAAGTAACTTGGCTTAACCGTGCGATCTCAAGAGGTCTTATTATGCGATTGCATGGTTCAAAACAACGGCAAATATTTGTTTCCTTTCGACACAATTTTTTTATGAAATTCAGGTCAGACTCATTGACAATATGCAAGAATACTGATTCCTGGACCTGAATTGTAGATTTTTTCTTGGTTTCGGACGGAATAAAATGCTAAAAGAAATTGTCCAAGAAGGATTGAAGAAATTTAAGAATTCGTTATTTTTATCTGTTTTTCTACTTACAATTAAAATTTGGGTGATGTCTCCACATTTAAATATGTATTTTTGTAACTTTATAATGATCGGCTAAATTTCTAGTCAATAGATTGAAACATGTAAAAGATGTTTTAATTTCAATTTTGAGATTTGACATTAGATAGTTGTTTGTCTAGGATGACTGTTATATGAATATTGTTTTTAATTACTTAGCTAATAATTAAATTGATTTGTGAACTTTGTTCTATTCGAGAGAGAGTGTAAAGGTTTTAGCATACGACAGCAATTGTTGTGGGATTCAATAGAGGATAGAAAAATATTGTCATTCTTTGCATGATTTAATGCATCAACAAGTGTTCACAATCTTTGTAGAGATATTGAATGATCACATGTAAGGATAAGTTTAGTTATGTTCGAGAGAGATTATTAAATAAAATCGGGACATTGATTGTCAAGTTAGATAAGTGTTGTCATTGTTTTGAACAATCATGCTACATGAACCTCAAGGTTAGCATAAAACTTGACATAATATCACGTAACGTTTTATCATTTGACAAATTAAAAGATAATCAGCTTTTTTATTTAGGCATATATAGTCATTTGTAATTATGTCAAGCTTTCTATCAAACTTTTCTAGCAAAGTAGCTTTATCTTTATTTTGAATTGTTGTTGAAACAGCTTAATAAAAGAGGATTCGAAGTCCTAGTGTTTATCATCAATCGAATTTATAAATACTTCTCACTTGTTCAATAATTTAGCGTATGGATAATTAGTTATAAAATTTGTTGGAAAAAATTAGTTACGGATTTCTTTCAAAAACAATTAAAAATGTAGAAAGAAATAAGATTTACTGATCGATTGAGACTCATGACAATACGATATTGAAATTGTTCATCGTAAATTGTTACGACCTCTTTAAACAATCACTCATGGGATACATCAATCGAATTACCCATACATCAATCAAAAGCGATTTTTAGAACCATCAATAGCGCTTCAAAACAAAATAATGGGATAATATTAAAAACTCTTTATTTTTTTTTAAAGAAATTATAAAACTTGAAAAATGATTTCAGTGTATAAATTTTCAAGATAAGGAGGGGTTTATATAGTCAAAGAATCATAACTTCAATTCATAATTCAATAAAATTAAAACTGCCATTTTTATGAGATTTTCATTTTTTGAATAAATAATTCGATAACTATCTAAATCATAGTTATTAAAATCGAACCGAACTAATAGGATCGGATCGGATCTGGAATCGACGAACTAGACAATGGTTTGGTCCAATTCATATTAATTGGTCCATTAGCATATATACCAATCGAGAAATGCTCATAGCAATTCATAACCTTCCGAACCTTGAACTAACCCATCGGTCAAATCATTGACTCAATGATTTGTTTGGATTAAGGACCAGATTGTGTATGATAACTATGGCCTCAATTGTTAATTTTTTCTATTCTATTTTTATGATTTTAATATATCTTCAAGTAACTCTCTAACTACTATATTTTACTAACTAATTTGACTTAGTAATTTTTTTTATTTTTTTTTCGAAAATGATTAAAATAATAATAATAAATTATTTTGATCAAAGGAGCCCAAAAGCTTGAGGTCCCAAAGCCCAATCATAAACCTTTTAACATTCACGTGAAATGTGATTCAAACCACCGACCTCCCACAAAAAATTCATAATTTTCGCTACTCGAGCATCCTATCTAATTTAATTATTTCTTTCAAATAATATATTTGATATATATCTAACAAAATCAACAACTCGAATTGTGCTATTCAATAAGTAATTATTAATTAAAATTGAATTAAATATTTGGTCCTCGTAAGAACTATACTTATATTCATTTACTTGACTATGATATCGTGCACTTACGAGATCTTAATGATCATTCATACCCTTCCATATGTGAACTTAATTTGGCTGGCTTGTTTAGTAACGTAGGTAGTGTTGGTAAAAAGAATTAGTTACAGTAATGTTCAGAACTATAAAATGCAGAAATATAAAACTTATCGTCCGATCGAGTCTCGTGACAGCACGATGTATTAAAGTGAAATTGTTCGTCGATAATTGTTAAGACGTCCGTGGACAATCACTCCCAAGATACAACGATCGTAAACCACTTGTATAGCAATCACGAATAGTTTTTTCAAAACTCTCAATTGTACTCCAGAATATATGTAAAAACTCGAGAATAAAAAATTCAGAATATGAAAAGGAAGGATTGATGCAAGATGTTTTTTATGTGCGTTTTTTCCAAAATGAGATATGGGTTTATATAGGCAAGATGGAAGTAACAGTCTCCACCATGACCAGAGAGTAATCCAGAATTTTAATGACTGAGTAGTGGGTATTTTAATATCTGTGAGTGGGTTGTTACAAAAATAAATAATTAGAAAATACTGGCTAGTTTTACCCATTAAATAATAATAAAAAATTTATTTTAGTCAAAGAAGCCCAAGAGGCCAAGGCTCCAATCAAGACATTTTAATATTTGCGTGGGGAGTGACTCAAACCCCTGACGTCCCACACAAATGCCACATTTCCCACCACTTTGGCACTTTAGCTAATTTGATTATTTCTTTCACATTTTATATTCATATCATAAATATATAACAATCCCCAACATGAAAGAAATAAGATAAATGAAAATATTACTCTGAAGTACGGTAGAAATCATGCAGGTTTAGGTGTCTATCAACTTAAACTTTGGCTTTTTATAGCTAATTTGATTATTTCGTTTACATTTTATATTTATATCATAAATATATAACAATCTCCCACATGAAACAAATAAGATAAATGAAAATATTACTCTGAAATACGGTAGAAATTATGCAGGTTTAGGTGTTTATCGACTTGAACTTTGGCTTTGTATATTCTATCGAGCTTACTAACTGTAGAGTGAACTATGTCTTGAACTCTACAATTATAGTTGCAAACTGAGACAATAGAACACACACATGATTTCTAGAACAGTCATTGAGTTCTCGCGATTGTGTTCATTTCGACCGTGAACTTTCCCAGTTTCTTTGAGTGCTCTAGAGAATTCGCTTCAATTCTCATAGGAAGCGACTCCACTTCCACACTCAAATAGGTGCTACTATCAAGGGTGCACTGTATCTAAACACCCCACTAAATATCAATTATAGTAAGCATTAAGAGCATTAACTCATTCTCTAATCAATACAGTTGGTACTACGCATCATAGGGAGGGGTTTGGAATAAATCCAATGTAGTACCCCCACA